AAAAATACACATACATGTATCAAAGGCACAGATTCTTTAGGTGATAAGATAACAAACTATAATCCACTTATTAAAGCAACATAAATGTTGTTAATAATCTTAGCTCTACCTTTATATAAAAAACTAACTTGAAAAAATAAAGAATAGGTAAAAAAGAAATGATAATTAAATGAAGTTATTTTAACTACAGGTGGTATCTACTTAAAAAATACATTAATTTGACCTGGCACAAGACCTTCCCACGCCAACCTTGGTATACCTACTAGGAAATACCGCTGTCATTTCCTACGACGCCTGTCTAAGCAGAGTTCCTTATTAACATTCCCAACCAATGGGGTAGGCAACGGGAAACCACCCCTTTATTTGACCGACGAAAGTTCATGGTATGAGTAATAGCTACGAGGTCTCGGATGACGAGCTGCGACGATCAGTTACCGGACATGTAGACATGACTCATCAATCTCTACATGTGAAATTTGCTACTGGTGAAAAACAGAAGCTTAATAATCATAAACCACACAACATAACTACATGGAATGTCCGCGATCTTTTACAACCGGGCAAAAAAACTATTCTGGAGAAGAAACTGCAACGAACCAATATATTTATGGCCAGGCTCTCTGGCATTCACTTCCGTAACAAGGGCACTACACAATTAATTTGGGACATTTCATGTGTTTTTCCATCAACAATAACAAAGGTATAAATGGTGTTGGATGTTGGATGTTAAGATCTCTTTCTCCTTATATACTGAGCTATCGAGCTATCAGTGATCGTATTATTTTCTTTATATTCAATGGATCCCTCTGTATTGCTCATTTGGTTCAGGTATATGCGCTTACCTCAACTGCTGATGGTGATACAACTGAATATTTTTTCAGATCTGGAATCATATCATATCTCTAAAGTATCCCAAATTAAGAAATCGCTATCAGCATGGGCGATTTAAACTAAAAAATCGGTCATACTATGGCTGACTAACATATACGAAATGTTGTAGGCAGATATGGAATAGGTGAACGTAATTTAAGGGAAGACAGCTTTATCCAGTTCTGCGTTGACAGTGGAACTCAAAGAAACATGTAAAAAAGTTTACCACTTTTAGAATATGGTTTTTCTCTAAAACGACCCTCATAGGGGGGAAAGGGATAAAATGAATTTACCAAGAATCTATGCGCCATAGAAAAAATGTCAAAAAAAAATGTTGCTATAAACAAAAATGTTGACTAAGCACGTCTTCATTAGAATAAACTCTTCTCTTAGAAATAACGCTTTAAGCGACCGGTAATTTTCAGTGTCAAGTACGCGCGCGAAATAAATTTTAAATAAATTTTTACGATTCTCATAAGATCAATAAAATTTATCACTTAGGTACATTGACCGGTCACTATAAAAATTTTATTATTAGACCCTAATCTTTAAAACATATAGCCTAAAATTTAGGTAAAACAAATTAATATGAGGCATTTGAAATATGTCTAAAAAGCGCTGAATTTAAATTTTCCCATTACAAACAATATAAAACGTATAATAATGCCTCTTTTTTATCACAATTCCGTTTTTTCGAAACAACACAACTTCAGTTTCAAATTCCACCCAATATATACCGTCTTCGTATGAGCATTTCCCGTGACGTGGGATTGTTTGTGATGTGAATGTTTAAATTCGGCGTTTTGGGCATATTTAAAATCCCTCATATTTGTTGTTAAAAATACAAATTCCATGTCATCGGTTTCAACGCAAAGATTCAACTCCAGCAATAAAAATTTCATAGCGACAGGTCAATAGAAGTGGTAAAATTTTATTGAACTCATGAGAATCGCAAACAAAGGCAAACATTGCGCAACGTTTATTTATTTAAAATATTTATAGAAACTGACTTTATTTGCAGCAAACTAAAAATAAGCACTTTATTTGCAGCACTTCTCACCTTTAAACGCATTTTGATTTTTGTCGATAAGATACTCTAACCAAAGATCGAATATTATCGCCGAGTTGATAAAATTTTTTATTTAAAATTGATTGAAATTGATAAAAAAGTAATTATCTTAGCTACATTAATCCCGTACAGATTCTTGGTAAATCGATTTTTCTGTCCCCCTCCCCTTACAAGGGGTTTTAGGGAAAGCCTTAATAAGTATAAAAGTAGTTAATTTTTTTGGAAGTCAAATCTTTAACGATTAGACCATGTATGTCGTTGTCTTTTTAAAAACAAAACACATGCTATGATTTTTCTGACGAGTATTCTTAAGTTACAGTTGATTTCATGTAATCGAATTAACTATTTTCCAATAAAGTCGTCACAGGAACACAACTCAAACATATTGACAATATAATTTTAAAGTCATCTGCGTTACAATTTATATTACATGTCTGAATTGCCGATATGAATAGGTTAGATAAAATTAAATCATTAGAAGATTTTTTACGATATAACAAAAACAAAACGTGTTTATAGTCCTTTTCCATCATATTGATAGCACATTATGTATGCAAATCCTCAACAGGTCAAAAAAACCATAGACGTCACCTTATACTTGTTTTGAAATAAATAAAAAAATTAATATTTTAAGATGCCGTCAACAATTCATTATCTTTTAAAAAATCTTCTGTAAAATAAGTGTCCACTAATCTCACTATACCTTTTTTGTACGTAAAAAACGTCGGTATATATGCCACACGATTATTGTTAATATACACGGTGATTAATGAGAGAATTCAATGTTTCACGAAATAAATTAATGTAAACAGTAATTTAAAGGTGATTATTGTTTTCTATAGAAGTTATTGCCTGATACAAAAAGAATACCTTCTTTGAACGATTACCTGGAATTACTGATAAGGCTTCACTAATGATAGTTTAAGTAGTTTTTATGCCACATTACAGCTTTTGCCAATAATATAAATTAAAAATTGTTTGCATCTTCCATTTAGTTTGTAGATGTACATTGTTCATGTCTTACCTACCTACGTTTTTGGTGTCGATATTTTTGTCATTTGCATTTAAAAATGACGTCGACAGCAGGTTTTATCCCGGTTAAGTGTAGTTTTAAAGGTGCCTTCAGTCTAAGAGAGAAAAATATAATATTAAATGTACACGATGCACTTCTACATCAACGCCCTTTAAGTAATGTTCGTGAAATCGTTAACAGGTGTTCAAATATGACAGGGGTTGGAGAAGCAACAATTTATAGATTCCTAAAAGAAAGAAAAGGAGGAACTGTTTCATCTCCCAAGAAGAGTGGAGGGAGTAAACCCTTGGATATTGAAGAAATACATAAAAACATGATGCAGCGTCCACCCATTTTTTTTTTAACAAAGAATTTCCAACATTGGACAATATCCAAACATTAATTAGAGAAAATGAAGAGTTGCCAATTATAACCAACAAGAAATTATGGGGAGTATTGAGAGAGATGAGATTTCGTTGGCAAAAGAATAGAAGAAAATTAGTTTTAATTGAAAAAGATTACATTGTATGTTGGAGACGAGATTATCTAAAAACTATTAAAAAGTACCGAGAAGAAGGGAAAACAATTTTTTATTTGGACGAGACTTGGCTAAATGAAGGTCATACTGTACCATATCTATGGGTTGATACAAATGTGAAAAGTTCCCGTCAGGCATTCATCGAAGGTGTATCTACTGGAATAAATAATATTCCCGTTGGAAAAGGACGCAGACTCATAATATCCCATATTGGAAACTAATACGGTTTTGTCAATGGTGGATTATTAAGTTTTGCCTCAAAATCAACCAAAGATTACCCGAGGAAATGACTGCTGACGTTTTTGAAGAATATTTTCAGCAAATGTTGTATTTAATTCCAAAAAATTCTGTCATAGTCATGGATAATGCTAGTTACCATTCAAGACTAGCAGAAAAATTGCCAACAACGGCATGGAAAAAAGGAGAGATAATCGAATGGTTGGATAAAAACGCAATTGAGTACAAGGAGAATTCGACAAAAAAGGAATTATTACCTATTGTAAGGCAACATAAAGCAGCTTATAAAAAATATACGATTGATGAAATGGCATTAAACCGTGATGTAATTATTTTACGTTGACCCCCATACCACTGTGATCTGAATCCGATAGAAAATACATGGTCTCAAGTAAAAGGTGAAGTCGGACGCAACAACAAAACTTTAAATTAGAAGACTTACAACAATTATTAGAACATTCCTTACCAAAAGTAACTCAAGAAAATTGGAAAAATTCTGTTAGTCATGCTCACAAGGAAGAAAATAAAATGTGGAATTTGGATAATATGACTGATGGAATGCTGGAACCGGTAATAATTAACATTGGAGTTGAAGATTCCTTAGATTCTGAAGAAAGCAGTGAATCTGAAATGGAATTTGATTAAAATAATATTTATTTTTTTACAAATCGGCCCCTGTTACGGCCACAACCTTTATACCTAGTGGTCATACTCAATTTAAAATTGTTTTCCTATATACTTCTGTAAACTTGTTGACAAATATCTATTTTTCATTGAGTCGCCCGTATTAACAGTTTAGGGATTTGTATACATAATGTGCTATCAATATGATGGAAATGGACTATAGTTTATTAACGTTTTGTATGTTGACAACGATTTTCGAAGTGGAAATCGAAACGTCAAAAATAAACTTATTTTAAAGTAAAATTGTGGCTTGTTTCCAATAAAAATAGTAAATTGCATTAAAATGTCACAAGAAAAAAGCGTCAGAGCAATATACCTAATGAAGTAACTTCTGATGTTTTTTAAAATTATTTTGCTCACACGATTTCCTATCAACGAATTCTGTCGTAGTTATGGACAATGCCAATAAGTAAAAAGTACCTTTTTTGTAGAGAAAATGTTTAGTTTTTGGCAAATATTCTAAATTCTCTTATTGATGTTTTATGTTGTTCTAATTACCGAAATTTTTATTTCTTGTGGGTGCAGCAAATTTTCAAAAAGGACAATAAAATATATAAAAAAAAATTAAATAATAAATAAAATTCACTTACCAGGATTTTCCTCAATTAAACTGACACGAATTAAGTGCAAATTTTCATGTTTTTCTTCAGGTACGTGTTTACCCAAAAGAGTGACATTATGTCCCCTTTTCGCCAATTCCCCCAACAACCTCTCCCCCAATATAAATTGACTTTTTCCTTGGCTCACAAAAATGCCCAATATGTTCGCGCTTTCCGCAACTAGCAAGCCGGCAAGCAATAAAATCAAAGTCAGTTGCTTCATCCCGGTATGAGAAACTATTTCCGAACAGGTACTGCGTCAAGCATCGACTGCACCGTTCACTATCACTACTAGTATAAAAATCGAATGAATACAATTTGCTAGGACTTCGCTATCTCTCATGGAAGTACAAGAACAATACGATGGACGGGGTCGGCGAATGATTGATGTGAAAGGAACTATGTAATCATAGAAATTTGCACTTACGGTACCAATTTAAGTAGAACGGATATTCAAGTGACAAAACTAATTGAAGAGATCATTAGAGACACTACATACTATATACTTCTTCCGCAAGAAATAAAATTTATTGAGTTATAAAAACTGGTCATTTGCCACGCAACTATGATTTAATAATATAATATAGATTAATATACTTCATATGTTACGAAATGACGAACAAGTCAAGACATTCCAAGACATTTTTTATTTACGAAGTTGTCATTAAGCTTTTCTCTTGTTATGTTGATGTAATTATGGAACTTTGACTATATAATAATTTAAATTCCATTTTAGACTAAAATTGAATAGCTAAACACGTTTTTTATTACTATCCATTAATTTTTTAAACTTTGATCAAATAAAAGGCAGATATCGAGCACAGTTTTATTAATTTAATCTTGTCCAAGTACTTTCGCTCCCTAGAGCAACTTCAGGGGCATTTCATCAATTGTAGAAAGTACTTAGATAAAACTGTGCTCGATATCTGCCTTTATTTGATCGAAGTTCATTTATTCGAGTATTTAACCTTATATCAATTCATTAATTTTTTATATTTTTAATTTTTTACTGAAAAATTACGTATACACAGATGTACACACATGTGTACTGTTTACAGAAGTGAGAGATCAAGTACAAAAAGCAAATAGACTGGCAGGATGCCTTAATAATACTAAATGGCGAAACAGACACAATAACACTGAAATAATGTCAAGATTTTATAAAGCCAGTGTAAGACCAATAATGACATATCGCACCTTTAATAATAAAGTGACACAACTCAAAATTCTTAAATTTTGAGTTTTAGTCATAAAACGACCGAACATAGTGGCCTCTATTGATTTAATGCTAACACATGTTGAAATCGGACACCACTGTGGGTAGATTTCTGCTTGCGTCAGTTTAGTACCGCACTGTTCCTTTATGGCGGTTCAGTCATAAACTGACCGGTTTTAGTGTTACTTCAGCAGCGAAAGGAAGAACATCGTCGGTTGTTGAATATTCAGGATTGTGTCAGTTTATTACTTAAACTTAAGATAACTATTTTTTTTTTTTAATCATAAACAGTGATATTCATATTTGTATCATTTTATTGCTCAAAATCTTTTAAATATGGTAGAACTTCTACGAATTATGTTAGTTTATTATCAAATATTTAGATAGTCTGTTTGAATTATTTTGATAAAAATCTCTGTTGTAGGTTTTATAAGAAATTGATCAATTTAAAAGTTATCATGGATGCAAATATTGTGCCACGGAGAGGAAAACTTATAACCAATATGGTTTCAATACCGAAAATTAATGATTCTGAGCATAGCACGAATGAGAACAAAATATTGACTGAATTAGAAGATTTAAAAATTATTGTAAGTAGCAAAGCAATTTCACGTTATTAGTATTAATAATTTCTTTTTTGTTGCAGCTGTGTTCGAATAATTTGGCTAATCAGAACATTGGCTTCACAGAAAACAATGAAAATCATGACGACACAAAAAGCACATGTACACATCCAACATCTTCTAAAGAAAGTTTGACTGTGGAAACCATTGAATGTGCAGAGGTAAGATAATTATTATTATATTGATGATCGTAATTTGTATTTTTTTAAACATAAATTATAAGTTCACAATTTTATATTGTTTTAGGATTTTGTGTATGCAAACGACAATGAAAAAGAAAATTATCTTAAATGCATGGCAACACCTGAACAATTTGTATATACTGTTAACCCTGATAATCCTACTAAGATTCACAATAACCGAAAGGAAGCAGTGAACTGTTACGTTTCACTCTGTCATTCTAATGAGAGTGATGCTGATAAAAGCGACAATGATCGTACCTACAAAGTCGAGAAGAGGAGTCAAGGCAATTTATCTTCTAGTTCTCCGCATTCGCCAACCAAGTAAATGGAAACAGAATACAGCAAAAAGATTAAGAAATTCTGGTAAGTCGTATGTTTCAATGTCTAAATCTAAAAAAGTTGTTGAGGCTCGAAGTATTAAACCACCTGGCCTTGAGAAATGTCGGCTAAAGTGCAGAGAGAAAATCAGTGAGGATGCAAGAAATATAACTTTTAACAAATTTTGGGACCTGGCAGATATTAATAAACAGAGATTATTTATTTATTCTAATACTAAAGATGTCATACCAAGGTACAAATATACGAATGCTGCAAATCCAAGAATCAACAATAAGGCTTTTTTCTTTACTATTGATGGCGAGCCAAGAAAAGTATGTAAACTTTTTTTTTTAAATACTTTAAGCGGTTATTATTAATTACGGATTGTATGGTGCGAACAACTTTCAAAAAAGTAAACCAACATGGCTTCGTCAAAAATGATAACCAAGGAACGCATGGCAGTCATACCGAAATTAGTGGAGAACTTGTACAAGATATAAAAGATCACATTAATTCGATACCACGTATCGAATCCATCTATCTCAGAGCTAATACTCCACGTGAGTATATCGATGGGGGGAAAAGTGTAGCAGAACTTTTCAGAGACTTTAGAGAGAGTCAAATACAGAAAAATAGATCATTTGGCAAATACTGTACATATTATAACGTTTTTACGACTAATTTTAATATAGGGTTTTTTTAAGCCCAAAAAAGATCAGTGTGATCTGTGTCTTTCTTATAATAACACAAATGGGGAAGCAAGACAAAACATACTTAAACAATACGAAACACATCTTGAAGAAAAAGAGTTGTGTAGGAAAGAAAAATATTTTGATCGCCTATATCGCGTGATATATCTGCATTTTATTACAAGTCAAAACTTAATGCATATAATTTCACTGTGGTTGAACTAAATAAAATTAATGCAAATAATGAAAAAAAGCAAGCCTATAGTGATGTTCATTGTTTCTATTGGAACGAAACAGATGCAAAACGTGGTTGCATTGAACTCGGGTCTTCTATAATGAAATATTTTGAAATATTATCCAAAAATTCCAACTTTTCAGATAAAGAACCGGAAGTAACCTTTTTCTCGGAAAACTACTGTGGACAAAATAAAAATAAAATTATTGCCACCTTATATTTATATGCAGTAACTCACTACAATATTTAAGTTAAAACACATAAGTTTCCGATTAAAGGTCATAGCCAAAATGAAGGTGACAATATGCACAGTCTAATTGAAAAAGAGATTAAAAGGAATCTGAAATCTGGTCCCATATATTCGCCTCACCAGTACGTGTCTATAATTAAAACTGCAAAAAAATCAAGTCCTCCGTTAACAGTTCATGAGCTTACTTTTGAATCGTTTCTGGATCTAAAAAAGCTTCAAGAAGAATGGGGATACAACTACAATATTAATACTCAAGGAAATACGGTAGTGTGAAATGATATTAAAGTCCTGTTGGTTAAAAAAGGAAATCCATTTAGCCTGTTTTATAAAACATCGTATAAACAGGATACTTTTCTTGAAATTAACGTACGAAACAAACGAAAGAAAATGCCTCTTTTGAAGGATATAATTCCCATACGCTCATATGAGAAAAAAAAATAGAATTAGGTGAAAATAAGAAAAAAGATCTCCACGAATTAATTTCCAAGAATCTGATTCCAAATTATTATGCAGAATTTTACAAACTTATGCTTAAATAATTTTTTTTACTGTTGCCAATTTTTTGTAAACACTGTTTTCGTGGATGCCCAATGTTTATTTAGTCTAAAGAAATAAATAATTTTTGTTTGTATAACTGTTCGTCTTTTATTTTATCCACCTATGATAAAAACTTTATTAATTTTTGTAGGCACTAAAAATCTAACATTCATTTTAGTGCACTGATGTAGTAGTAAAGAGGCACATTAAATTTTATATCAATAGATAATTTTAAATTAAAGTAATAAACAGCAGTATTTCGAAACCGTCCTTTTATTGTAGCTTAACTTTCAATCATAAATTGACACATTTGTTAATAATACTTTCATATTAAAAAAATTTTCAGTACTAAAGTGACACAAGTTTTTTTTTACTAAAAATATCAAAATTTCAAATTTTAATATAACAAAAGTATTACCAAAGAATATAACCTAACCTAAGCGTCTATATTCTTTGGTAAGTGTCTATATTCTTTGGTATTACATTATAAGAAATTTACACAGATTACACTAAAAACTACAAGGTTCCTTTGAGTGAAATATATTGTCTCAGAAGTATTATAGGTTCGGCTCTAACAACGATACAAGAGAGATAACTGTAATTATAGAAACGTTTTTGCGTTTTCTACAAAATCATATTTTTTGAGTTGTGCCACTTTATCAATAAGGGTGCGATATGCCTTAGAAACAAGACCCGACACACCCACAATGCAAAAGCTACTAGAAACGGCAGAGATGAGAGTGCTGAGAAGAATTACAGGAAATACGCTGAGAGATCGAAAGAGAAGTGAAGACATTAGAAGAAAATGTAACGTACAATGTATAAATGAATGAACACTAAATAGAAAAAAGAATAGAATAACCACGTAAGCAGAATGGAGGAGACCCTTGTCGTCAAAATAGCAAGATATAAGTCACCAATCGGCAGAAAAAGTATCGGACGACCGCGCAAAAGTTGGAGTTACAAGCTTCCATGGCAGGATTGCTTATAAAGAGGAAGAAGAAGAAGACAAGAACAAATTTGGCTCTGATAATATCTGCAACTCTGTTAAATCCATGAGCTAAACAAGTAACATAAAAAGATTCTGATGAAATATTTTTAAATTTTGCCCCATCTTAACAACCCACAGCACATTATATTTCTTTTTGAGCATTGTCTTAACAATTTATTAAACACGTTTACACTCAACTAAAAGCAGCGCTGAACTGAAATCCAGAAAAGCAATACTGTCTGCTTGAAATTTAGTTGGTGTAAAATCCACGACAGCGTTTGTTATCGATCACCATTTGTTCCGGGAGCTGTAATTATGTTCAAATTATAAATGAAAAATAAATATTAATTGATTTTATGATTATTTCTGGTTAATGCCAGGACCCACATCCAATTCGGTCAACTCAATTTGCAAAGATTCAGAATTGTTAAGAGCTCAGGTAAATAGTACCTAGAAATAAACGGACAGACCCTTCATAATTACATCTTAATGGTTTTCGGGTTTTCCATGGTAAAGTGACGAAAATATGTAAATATATGTAGGGTAGAGTAAGGTTAACTGAACAGGCAGGTTAACTAAACACTTCAACGTACCTGCCCTCTGTTAGATAGAATTAGAACCGTGCACATGTAGTTTAAAGCAAACTCTAACGGCCACTACTTTTTACAGGCCACTAAAGATTTCTATATAACCTACAGGGAATTATCAGTGAAGTCAACAGTGAGTTAAATAAGTTGAATGAATAAGTGAGTTGAATGAATTGTTACACTCGATCGTACTACCTGGGTGAACATTTCTCATAGGCTGGGTTCAATCAAATTGCTTGTAGTGAAGTCAACATGGTTTTTATTGGATGCAAGTAAATTTTTCGCTCTGTGAATATTCTTATTTTTAAGCAGATTAAAATATAATTTAGCGTTATTTTGTACAGTTTTTGAGGTAAGTATGAGCCATCTATTCCACTATTTGAAGTTAGTATATTTGGCGTTCTTCTTAGAATTATTATTATTTATAATTTTTATTACCTAGTGGGGTTAATTGAACACTCACCGTGTGAGGTTAGATGGACATATTATTATGTCCAGTTAAGCTACTATAAGGCAGTACGCAGATAAACTGCTTTTTGAATTGGTTTATGGGTCACCTGCAATAATACATTTAATTGTGAATCATTCATGTGGGCGTCGCGTCTAAATGTATTCGTTCCAAGTCAACAATAAACAAATTGGCTCAGCAAAAATCATTTAAGCGCCTTGTCTTAATATTTTTACTGGTTTCTAGTTATTATTATTTTATAATTTTTTTGTTTCAGAAAATGCCAAGGAAAAGAATACGAACGACGAATAATAGGTCCTACAGGTCACAAACATTAAAACAGGCTTGCAAAGAAGTCTTACAAAAGACCAGTTTGTTCTTCCAAGAATTACAGTACAACGTTATGTAGATAAGTGCCGCGACCATGATTTGAGGACGGATCATTTTCGCCCAAGTAATGAATACCTAATGGTATTTTCTATAGACGAAGATTTGCTTCTTAATAAATATTTACAAGAAGCTTGCAACATTCATTATGGATTGTCAGCAAACAAGGTCTAAGGTTGGCATATGAATTTGCTGTAGCTAATAACAAAACTATAAGGAGAGTTGGATTCGGGATATAATGGCAGGAAGGGAGTGGATTTTTAACTTTATGGGAAGATACAGATTATCATTAAGAACCCTGAACAAATTAGCCTTAGTCTTGTAGTGTGTCCCAAGTATTGCAGTTTTCGTTTTTTGATTGTAAATATGACTTCCTTTTCTTTATTCATTAAATTTTTCTCAAGACCTCGACATTTGTGACTCTCTCGGTCCATGATATTCTCAGGATTCTGCGATACATCCACAGTTCAAATGCCTCTAATTTTTTGATATCAATATTTTTCCAATGTCCATGACTCCATTCCGTAGAACAGGACAGAAAGTACGTAACATCTCATCAGGCGAAGTTTCATTTCAAGGCTCAAATCTCTTCCGCAGAACACTCTCTTCATTTTAGTGAATATGGATCTGGCTTTTTCTATTCTTATTTGATTTCTGCTGAGTATTGTTGTCTTCATTTAGAAAAGTGACTAAATATTTGTTTTTGCTAATTCGATCGATAATTTCATTGTGTTAATATAAATTTTGGACATTTTGTGTTGATTTCGATATTACCATAAATTTAGTTTTCTTTATGTTCAAAGATAGCCCATATTCTTCGCTGCAGTCGCCATCTTATTCACCAATGTCTGTAGCCCTCAAGTGTTTCTGCGATCAGAACGGTGTCGTCGGCAAATCTCAGATTGTTTAATCAACACCATTTATTTTTATTGTTGACAACTGACTTCGTCCAACAGTGGTCAAATAAAAACATAAAAAAAAACTCTCAAACATTACAAACTCAAATATCTCTAATAATATTGAAAAAAATGTACGTCTTCATCAAATTCAAGAACATCCAGTGGATGCAGAAACGGAATCTCAACAGTCACAGTCGGGATTAAAATTAAAGAGGCCACTTTGTCAAACGCCAATGTCAACAATTATAACTCCCGAACAGATTCGCCCTCACCCAAAAGCCAAGCAACGCAAATCTAACGTTAGATGTAAAAAACGCAAATCTTTAATACTAACGGACACACCTGTCAAAGAAAATTTAGAAAAAAAAGATAGGATTCGAGGAGAAAAGGTCAATAAAAAAATAAAAATAAATCAAACTAAGAGACAAGTTGTAAAAAAACGTGTATTTAGAGAAAGCACATCTTCCAGTAACGAAAGTGTCAGTTACCAAGAAAGTTTCGATTCACCAATCCATCCAAAGTTTCAAAAGGGGACTATGCTATTGCAAAAGTTTATGGCAAGACTAATGCAAGCTGTAGGCATTATGTGGTTCACATGATGACAATTTGTTAAACGGCTATGATGTTAATTTTATGAAACGCCATAACCAAACACGATATTTCTTAGAAGGCGACCACGGTTTTGTTCCTATTGATGATATTATTTACAAACTACCTGTGCCAATAAAAAATAGTGGTGCCAGGTTTGATAACATGATTTCTTTACATATAGACTTTGATGAATTTGACTTTACTTTATATTAGTTCAATAAAGAGTTGCTAAGAAAATTTCCTATTTTCTTTACCCATTTTTTTTTTTGGTATATTATACTGTCCAGTTAGCCCATTTCCATGTCCCAGTTAACCTAATGTAGGTTAGGTAGGTTAACTGGTCAAAATTGCAGATTATTACGAAAATCATCCCCCTATTCCTATATAGATATTTATTGCACTTCAAAAACCGTATTAAATGGTTAGTCAAATAACAACGAAACACAGAATAAATATTGGCTTAGTTTGAACCAGACACTAAGTAAATATATATATATATATATATATATATATATATATAATATATATATATATATATATATATATATATATATATATGTAGTTTGAGTATCTTGAACCGTATTATAGTTAATATAAAAATAATTAATTAATATAATATTCTGGGTTTTGGGTTTAGTTCAAAAAGATATGTTACATGTGGAATGGATTTTATTTTCCATTGCCATCAATTAACGTTTCGGCAGGAAATCTAGTTTCCACATGTAACATATCTTATTGAACCTAAACCCAAGAAACATTAATTATATATATATATATATATATATATATATATATATATATATATATATATATATATATATATTCAAAAGATGTCCAGTTAACCTCACTCTACTCTACTATATACCACTTAAATATGCAACTTTTTCAAAAAACATATAAAATGTAATATATGTAAAAATATGTAACTTACATAATAATATATAATCTGTTTCCTACTTATTACATTCAGTGGTTTAATACCATAGAAAATAATATTTTTTTAAACTTGTTTCTTACTATGAAATATATATTATATTATACCTACTGGTATGAAACGTATTGGTACGTTTATGGAATCGATGTAGGTCAGGTGTGTCTTTAGAACATCTTTACTTAGTAAACGGAAGAGATAGTCTTTACTAAAAGAACCATAGTGAGAGAAACGAAAATATGCATTCATAAAATGTGCAAGTGATCTTTACCTATTAAAGATTTCTATGCTGCTTATGTTAAATCTGTTTAAAGTATTTTGAAGAATTATGAACATAGAAAATGACTTTTCTATTTGTAAATTATACACAAGAGTTAATCTGTTTCTAGAAACTTTATTGATTCTATAATAATAGAGTCACGTTGTTTCGTTTTATTTGTAAAACATATAACATTATTTTTCTATAAAAACTTTACAAATTTAAATATGTGTTATCTTTAATAAAAAATTGATTAAAATAATAATTGAGCATCTGCTTTGAACAAGGTTATAACGATACAAAAAAAAATTTAAATACTGATAATTAAAGAAGATTGCATCGATAAGTAATTTATATTCACATACGATTTAATGATTAACTAAAGAAAAATAAATTTTATACTCAAAGTTAAATAAGGACAGGTAACGTCTTTTAGAAGAGCAAGGTTGTAACATAATTTAACAAGGTTATAACAGGCTGATTACAACTTTGTTAAAGTGTAACCACAGACCAAACAACATTATGTGTTGTGTACTCTTTGGGTTTCCAAAGTATGTATGAATTTAGGTATAATTTAAGTGTTCATCTAATAAACTAATATGTACTATTCATTAAAAAATACAACAAAAAAACTCATTTTTCTTAGAAAATGTTATTGTTATTATATATTTTCATTTCAATGTTAAAATTTCAAAAAAAACTATTACATTTCAGTTGGAAAAGTAGTCCCATCCACTAGACCTGTAAAACCTTGTACAAGGTTACAGAAATGTGGAATGGATATCATGTATAAATAAAATATGTACAATATGCCAATTGGCTGAAGTACTACCGGTTTATAACATACTCCGAAAAAAGTCTATTCAGTTTATTTAATATCATTTTAGCCACAGTCATCAACTCATAAAGGCGGAGTCCCATGTATCCGATTTCCGACATCCGACATACGAAAATCGTATGGCTTCGTACTTGCTATTTGGAAGCTAGTCACATGGATGCGATTGTCGGATACGAAAATCCGTATTATAACTGTCAATTTTTTGTTTATTGTTTGGATGTTTGGTGGTTTGGCTGGTAATTGCTGTAGTAAACTTTTGCGTAGTAAAACAGCAGAAGGGATTATTTCCGCATGGTATATAATCCCTTCTCCTGCTTTCAATTACTCAGTTTATTATGGATAACGTAGAAGAAACTATGTAACTTATGAAATGTGCAATTACGCATTCTAAGATAATTGCAAATATTTATCAACATAATTTAGCTTCATTTCCTGCAAGAGTGCAATAGATTATTAAAAGTCCCTTGTGACTTTTTTTACTGAAATATTTAACTAACTCAATATTTTCTTTGTCGAATTGTACGTTTTGTTTTTTTTTTGCGAATTAAAAGAGGCAGACATAATAATAGCGTTTTATTAACTTTACGAACATAGCTTCTTCGATTAAAATTCATGTTTCAATAAATTAAATGTACAGATGTTAAAGTGCGTGCAAGCACTCTTGACCACGGCGCAGTAGACGAAATTTGGTTTAGTCCCCACTTCCGTACGAAACGTATTGTATTGTGCACTGTATAATTCCACTTACAATACAACCTTTCTGCCTTTACGTGAATTTGTTCCGTCTTCGCGCAGCTCTATGGTCAAGAGTGCTTGCACGCACTATAAACTATTGGAATACAATTAGGATACAAAACATCCGTTTTGTCGGAAAAAGTTAAAATAATTTTATCTTTATCCGATGTCGGAAGCGTAGTTAAAAATTTCGGATGAAATTCGGCGCGAAAATGTTCTGATTCGATTCTGACCAATGAGAATACTTTCGGATCATCGTGTCGTCGGAAATCGGATGCATGGGACTTTGCCTTAATTGGTCAAAACAAAACCATACCCTATATATGAAAAATAAAACAGTGGATAACTAGGTAAACGTGCTTAATCTTTATTCTTACAAATTTCAGTAATCAAGAATAAGTACATGAATAATATGTATTTTGTTTTAGTATAATCTCATTATATTAACAATGAAATGAGTTGACACTATAGAACTTAATGATGTTTTAACGTGTACAAATTTTTATTCATTGATTTTTTATTCTGTGTTGTAACACGTTTTATTATCGTTTTATACCAGAAAATAGCACCTTACTTTCACTATGCATAATGTGCAATGAATGGAAAAAATATAAATAATAAATTAATTAGAAGAAAACTCTACATCATCATTTCTACTTAAGTTACTAACTTAGATAATGCCAATATCAGTCCCCTTA